ACCAACACCATACTGTAAAGGCATCAATTCTTCATATTCTTTATTCATTGCCCAGCTTCTACATGGATATGAGGTGACTGAAAATACCATGGCTTAGGGCAGGTGCACCTTTGTTCTCAAACTAATATCTTTGGTTTGTACCACCTTAAAGGAGGTCTTTTGCAACATATTTTCCAGTGCACTGCATCATTTGATCTCTTGACGGCTGCTTCTATAGAGGTTGATTGTGAATCTATGTGCAATGACCTCTTTGACAACATCAGTACTTTCTCCATCCATCATGATGTTGCTTATTGGCCCAGCTGTGAGGTTTTTGTTGTTGTTATTTTTTTTCTTTCTTCCTTGATGTTGCGGTATGATCCATACTGATTGATCTTCATCAGAAGTGCTTTAAGTCCTCCTCAGTTTCAGCCAGCAAGGTGTGACATCTACTGAAGATGGTAATGAGACTTCCTCCAATCCTGGTGCCACACTGTTCTTCATCAGGCCCCGTTTCTCAGATTATTTTGTTCAGTATTCAGTTAGGATCATGAAAGGATATAACCCTGGTATACCCCTTTCCTGATTATAAATCATGCACGATCCCCTGGTTCTCGTCAAAGAACTGTTCCTGGTCTATGAACAGGTCCCAATGAGCACCTTAAGTGTCCTAGAATTCTCATTCTTCATGATGCTATCCATAATTTGTCCTGACCCACACAGTCAAATGCTCTTGCATAGTCAATAAAACAGAAATAAGCATCATTCTGGTATTGTCTGTTTTCAGGCAAGATTCATCTGATATCAGCTACAATATCCCTCCTTCCACATCCTCTGTTGAATCCAGCTTGTGTTTCTGGCAGTTCCCTGTTGATGTAGTGCTGCTGCAACTTTTAAAATTATTTTTAGCAAAACTTTACCTGTATTTGAGTGACAGTTTTGTTTGACAATGTCTACCTTCTGTTGAATCGTCTTTCTTCGGCATGGGCACAAATATCGATCTCTTCCCCTCCTTTTGGCAGGGAGCTGTCTTCCACATTTCTTGGTATAGACAATTGAGGGCCTTCAGGACTGTGTTCATTTATTCAACGGCCCACTAGGCTGGTTGTGATGAAAACAAGCAAGCAAAACATCAGTCATTGTCAAGGAGGTGGAGACATGGGGATCCTTATTCGTTGCTGGTGGGATTGTAATACGGTCCGGCTCCTGTGGAAAACAGTTTGGCGGGTCCTCAAAAAGTTAATCATAGAATTACCAGATGATCCAGCAATCCCACTCCTAAACATATGCCCCAAAGAATTGAAAGCCGGGACTCAGACGCGTGTACCTCATTGTTCATTGCAGCATGGTTCACAGTAGTCAAAAGGCAGAAAGGCTAATGGCCATCACCCTGTGAAATAAACCAATGTGGTAGAGACATACTGTCCTGGTCTTCTATTGCTCCACAGCAGGAATCCCACGAGGAGGTAGCTTCCACAAAGCTATTTTCTCACAACTTCGGAGGCTAGACGTCTGAATTCAGGGGACCCACTCCAGGAGCAGGCTTCCACTCTGTGTCCGCTCTGGGTGAAGGTTCTCGTCTCTTCTGTGCCTGGGTGATCGTCTGGCCTGGCATTGATCCTCCCCCATTCCTGCTTGCTGGCTTGTTTGTTTAATCTCTAAGGTGATTGGCTGGAAACACACCCTTCACTGATAGGGCTTGTTCACATAACAAAGAAAATCATTCTCCAGGAGCAGGTCTAAGGGTGAGAATTGAGAACACACATATATTCTTAAAGCTCTTGATTGTGGTTCGGTAAAGATGTACAGAGGAGATGGTCGGTTTTACACTCAGCAATTCACATGCATTTTGTGTCAGCGCATTGGTTGCAGTTCCCTTCTCTCACTTCCCCTCTGTGTGTCCTGTTTCAGCACTCCTGTTCGAACCCTTTGCCCTTGGATAAGTGCTGCCCTTTGGATCTCAAGTGGTTGATTGCTCAAAGGCATGCCTACCTCCTCAGTGGTTATCATTCCCCTCACAGGCCTGGCTGGACCGTGAGTTCAGTCCCAGACCTGAAGGGGGACAAAGAGCCACCGACTCAGGGGTTCCACCAGTGGTTATCCAACGAGTCCACCTGGTCTCTGTAAGGATGATGAATTCTGTTCCACACCTTCTCCCACTCTATCCGGGACCATTAACATGACCCCTTTCAGAGCATCTGGCTCTTCTGGTCTCAACGTTGTGGGGACTGGTACGCGGGTATCCATTAACCCTTTGGGTCGTTTCTTTGTCTTTGCTGCTCGGAGCCCTGATGGCATAGTGGGTTACCTGTTGGGCTGCTAATCACAAGGTCAGCAGTTCAAAACCACCAGCCACCCCTGAGGAGAAAGATGAGGCTTTTGAGTCTATAAAAATTATTTCTACTCTGTCTTATATGGTCAATATGAGTCAGAATGGAGTCGATGGCAGTGCGTTTTAACGTGTCTTTAATTTTCATCACTCGTACTTCCTCTGGACACGGAGAGACCAATAGTTGCACCCCAGATGGCCGGTCTCCATTTTCAAGACTGAGTCGCTACTCCCCAAAGTCAGATATAGGACATTGTTTTTGTGGACCAGGTGATTACAATAGACCTTGGTGCCCCCTGGAAATTATGGTCCCGAGACACCAGGCCCAGCAATTCATTCCCTCCAGGTACAACACATATTTCTGGGGACACAACTCACTCCACAATACAGACAATGGGATATTACTCAGACATAAAGTGAAATAAAGTCCTACCATATGGATGGACCTTGAAACCATTATGCTGAGTGAAATAAATCAGTCAGAAGGAAAATATTATATAATATCACTTCTATGAAATTTCTAGAGCCTTGGTGGTGCATTGGTCATGCGTTGGGCTGCAAACTACAAGGTCGGCAGTTCAAAACCACAAGCTGGTTCGAGACAAAGAAAGTCTCAGAAACTCACTGCGGCAGTTCTACCCTACCCTACAGGATCACTATGAGTTGGCATCAACTTGATGGCAATGAGTTTGGATTTGGGCATATGAAATATCTACAATAAACAAGTGTATACCCAAACCAAACCCACTGCCATCAAGCCCACTCCCATCAATAATGACCCTACAGAGGGTTTCCAAGCCAGTAAACATTAGGAACAGACAACCTCATCTGTCTCTTGAGGAGTAGCTCCGAGGTTTGAACCACTGACCTTGCAGTTAGGAACCCAGTGCCTAACCCACACTGTGCTAGGCTAGAGACCAACACTTATTAGTGATTACCAGGCGTGGGTGGGACACTGCGTTTCTGTCATCCCTGGCATCGCATTGAATTCAACTCATAGAGACTTTATCTAGGGTTTCCAATGCTATAAATATGGATGCAGTACTCCATCAATATGGAGCAGATAGCCTCGCCTGTGTTTTGTGGAGCAGCTGGTGGATTTGAACCACTGACCTTGCAGTTGGTAGTCCAGCGCTAAGCCAATAGAACAACTAGGACTCATTGAGTTTCTGCTAAAGGTGATTGAAATGTGCGGGGACCGTTAAGGGTGAAGGTTGAACAATATGGTGAACATAATTAACACCACTGAACTGTGCATAGGAAGCCTGCTGAAATTCCAATTGTATTACAAATGCTCCGGCCTTCAGAAAGTTTAGGGGGAAATTCCATTGTATTGTAATTCCTTTCTCCATGAACTTTTTGAAGTCCTCATCTATGTTAACCACACACCCAGCGACACACCACACAGGAGAGAAAGAGAGTCCCTAGGGTTGACACCAGGCCCCCAAAATCCTTTCACAAGTAGAAAAGACAAAGGTGACTGTCCTGTAAGGGCAAGTTCTCTGACTGCTCCCCAGGGGGATCAGGCACACCCTGCCTGTAGGCCTCCATTTCCTCATCTGCAAAATAAGAGGTTTGGCCTGGTTTCTAAGTCTCCTTCCAGCTCTTAGATGCTTTGCTATAAAATGAGAGAAGTGCCAGCCTTTGGGGGCTATAATCTGAAAATATTGTGAATGTAGAGAATCAAATTGTACAGCAGCACATGAACAAAATAATATGTTAATGACTAAGAAGATTATATTTAATCCAATGAGGAATAAGCGAGCTGCTGCTGCCAGGACGTGTGTGTGTGTGTGTGTGTTCCTTCCTTGAACTCAAATATATATTTTCAATCACTAATATAGTATCAGGCCTCTCTGGCAGCCTGTCATGTGAGCGCGCGCGCGCGCGCGCACACACGCACGCGCACACACACACACCATTTCAGATTAAAATGGACGGGAAGGGAGGTTGTGCACAGATTCCACCCCAGCTGCCTCCATCCTTTCTGTGTTTGGGTGGCTTCCCTGATTTTTAAGAAAATTTTACAGTGGTGAAGGTGTTTGATTGACAGCCCCTGAAGGCCTGGAATCTGAGAACTGGGGCACGTGGGCGGACCTGGAGTTTATTAGCATTTCAAGCTCACAGGCTAACCGCCCCCTCCTCAGTCCCCAGCCTCCCTGAGAGTCGTCCCCAGCTGTCCACTTGTCCTGAGCCCAAATCCCCCGACAGAGGTGGTTCAGCTTGACGCCCAAGACGCCCCGGGAGGGGAACAGGGAGCTGCAGGAACGGAGGTTAGGACACTGACCTCGTCCACCCCACCCCTACCCCCGACCCCCGACCCCCGCCCAGCAGAAGAGTGGGCGGGAGCCGCATGGGGGGCGTCTCAGCATGCTTGGCCCTGGAGGCCAGGCCCCGCGCGCCCACTCGGCAGAGCGCGCCGCAGAGCAGAGAGAGCCGCC